ATGGTATATTTGCTGATATACCATAACGGCTAAGCCAATAAAAAGTCTTGAATTGCATTATCCAATGATCCAGTTTTTAATAATGGTTAATATCACATTGATATCTCCTTAATTATTTTCAGAACGATATCGAGTTAAAAGACTTGGAATTAAGTTGTCCTGATTCAAGTGACTTTGCCCAGCATCCCGCAGATTACATGGATATAAAAGAAACAAGCTTGGATGACACTCAAACTAAAGCTGCTAGCCAAGTTGCTGATTACACGCCACTTCATCCATCGACGCGCTCCTGGGAAGTGTCAAGGGATCATGTGACAATAGAAAAAATCATTGGTAAAGGTGCTTTCGGTCAGGTGGCAAAGGGAACAGCTACAGACCTTCGCGGAAGGCCTGCGAGAACAACGATAGCCATCAAAATGCTCAAAGGTAAAGTTTTACTCTTTTACGAATTAGAGTTCAGAAAGGTCTTATTCGTCGTACACAGTTAGGAGGGACATGTTTTGAGAATAGTTGAGCTGAAATGCGATACAGTTCCGTTAAAGAAACTTTCTCTCTTTCCTCCAGGTGAAACTTAATGATACCAAACCTTGACCACGACAGAAACTGACAAGGTTTTCTGCAGGTCCTACTTTTTGTGTACTTCTCTCGTTCGCTTTTACTATACTATGCTTCCAGAAGTAGCCTACTTAAATTTGCATTGATTTCTCCAAGTTTCGCATGATTTGGAAACAGCAAAGTAATTTCAATTTTTTTTTTGCCTGTAACTTTTTACTGAGTGATTCAAATAAGTAGAGATGACTATAGAAGTGTATCTTTAGATGACGCCTCAGAATCGGACACGAGGGACTTGGTGAATGAACTTGAAACCATGAAGCAGCTAAAACCACATCCACACGTCATAAAACTTGTGGGATGTGTTACAGAAACTGGTGAGTTGTTTCCTTTAGCTGTTCAGTATGACATGTTTATTTTACAACGCAAATAACGTAAACTAAATAGAAGCATACCTTGTTATCTCTAGTTTGCTAGAGCGTTATGTAGAACTCCTTTTTCAGTAAAACCACTTCCTTTCTTTCTTCCTTTTTTTCAATTTTTTTTTTTTTTCAGAGCCTCTGCTGGTGTTGATCGAGTACGTTCCTTTTGGGGATTTGCTGGGTTACCTAAGAAAAAGCCGTGGTTTAAATGATACTTACTTCAAAGACCCGGATATAAAACCACGAACGAATCTGACGTCACAGCAGCTGATGAAGTTTGCTTGGCAGATCGCTGATGGAATGAGTTACTTATCCTCAAAATCTGTGAGTTTTCATGACAAAAACGTCAGAGCAGATAGTCAATTCCTACTACATGCAATCGCAGATTCCTTAGTTTGCGATGCAATAGCCAGTTCTTTTATGACCTTTTTTTAAGGCACCTGCCGAACGCTCAATCATGAGACGGTATGTCTGCAAAAGAGGGCTTAGGGTGGTGGTGTTACACGGCTGATGACCGGCATGTAAAAACTACTGCATACTTTGATTTTATGATTTAAAATGGAAATCTGATAGTAATCAGATTCGATTAATTGTTATTTTCATGTGGTTAGATCATCCACCGAGACCTCGCAGCCCGTAATGTATTGGTTGGAAAAAACGAAACATGTAAAGTAACAGATTTTGGAATGGCCAGAGATGTGCAACAGGAAAATATTTATGAAAAAAAGACAAAGGTAATTTGGATTGTGAGTTTAGCTTCATTAAACCGATTGAAGCTCTAATTTTGTAATTCTAGTTTGACTCTCTTCGAACTTCAAATTCTTTTTTCCATGGAATATTGAAGCTCCATTTTTTTACGTTATGTTGTTCATTGATAACCGTTCATAGACTGAGTATCTATGAATTCCTAAGGGTCGTCTTCCAGTAAAGTGGACAGCTTACGAGGCGTTGTTGTATGGCACATACACCACCAAAAGTGATGTGTAAGTACAGGGGTTCATTACTTTTATGAAATATTGCTATACATTCGATTTGAGTGTGAAAGGTAAATCCCGCCAACTAGTCTGCACACGTACACATAGAATCAGGCTCAATTCTAGGAGTCATTAGTTAACCTTTCAGCGTTTGTCACATTTCCTGTTTTTAAGAGCGCTCCTTGTGTAATGCCATATTTATCCCATTGCCTTCTAGATGGAGTTACGGAGTTCTCCTTTATGAGATTTTCACAATAGGTAACTATTTAGTTTATATGAAAAATATACTGAAAAACAAGGAAACATACCAACGACCGGTTAATTATTCTTTTTATCATGTATAGCAATGTAAAATTCTGAGACAAAAACTCCGCTGCTTAAAGCGACGGAAGTAATCATGCTAAACCAAAAAGATAAATAAATAAAAATAAATAAATCATTTCCAGGTGGTTCCCCTTATCCACGGATGGATGGTAAGAAAATTGCGAAACTACTTCAGCAGGACTACAGAATGCCTAAGCCCCAACATGTAGATGATGAGTTGTAAGTTGTCGAATACTGTTTCTTACCTTTTTACTTTGGTTTGTCGTTAATCCCATTGACAGAATTATTTCACCCGATGATTTTGAGTTAAAGCCACTTTCAACTGTATCCAAGTTAACTGATTCTTGAAAACGAAAATGCATTTTTCTTTGTTTGAAAGTATTCCTCTTGTCAAATACCAGGTACCAGATCATGATGAGGTGCTGGCAAAATGACCCGGATGTTCGACCAACATTTACTGAGTTAAGAAACCAGCTTAAGGACATGGAAACGAAACATAAGGTGAGAATTATAATAGTCGTGAGAAAATTTGAATTTCGCGATCGATGGATTAAATCTTAAGAACCTATCCTTTCGTAAATCATCAAATTGCATTCGGGCCATTCTCTGTATTAATGCCACAACGGATGAATTCTTTTTATCAACGGATTTAATAATTCAGATTGGCCAACGTAAGTAGTTTCAAGAGCTGGCATTTTGAGCGATAGATCAGGTAATACCTAAGGTTACACAATCATCTTTGATAATCTCATGAATTTGTTGTTTTGTTTTCCTCCATAGGGGCTGATCAACATGAAAATGTACGACAAGCAGTTGTACGCAAACGTTGAGGACTGAAACGTATGGTCATCGATCAATCTCTTGTATATCATTTGTCTCGCGCAGTTTTGGCAGTAAACCTATAGTTTCGTACTCTTTATTGGACCGAAATACAAACTTTTTTCAAAAAAGTTGACATTCAAGATTCACAGCACTAGTTACATTGTGGGAAATCACAGTGCAAATAGTATCGGTCTAATCTAATTCCATTCAAATCTCTCCGATGATAGGGAAATTAAACCTTTTTGCAACAACTTTCAATTTCTTTTAGGAGTAGCATTTTTCCTTTTCTTGGGGAAATTGAATGTAAAAGTAGATCAAATTAAAAAAAAAAATTTAATAAAGTAACAGAATTATTTTCTAGAGCTGATTTACATCGTGCGACATGTATCTTTAAAACTTTTTGTAGAAGGTACCTTCTACGAAAAGTTTTAAAGAAAAATGTCCACAAGAACATCTCCAAAGTTATTTCAACTCATCGAAAGAAACTTAAAAACCTAACGAAGAATACCGTATTACCCTTCTCACCGAATGAAATTGTAAACAATCTTTCTTCGCTAAATCTAACTGGTGATGAACTTGAACGTCTAAAGAATTGGCTAGGTTTCTCTATCAAACCTCCTCGTCTCAACAAGACGGACATTCTGGCTTCCTTCGAAAAGATCCACTGCACCATGAAGAACAAATGTTTGGACGAAAACTCCGCTACGCACCTAAAACCTGAAATCGCTCATCTGGCTCAAAACTATATCTCTTCCTACCGTCCCTCAAAAAATTATCTAAAGAAACACCGTATCCTACGAACTCTTAAGAAAAACTCCAATATTACAATTCTCAAGCCTGATAAAGGTAATGGAGTAGTTATTTTAGACCGTAATAATTATTTAGGCTCTTGTTTTGATATACTTAGTGATAAATCTAAATTCAAACTACTAGACAAATATCCCACTTTATTAAGATAAGGCTAACTTAAACGTTTCATTAGTTTACTCAAGAAAAAGCATTCTATTGATAATGATACCTATACTAAGATTTTTCCCAAGGGTTCACAACCAGAAAAATTTTATGGCCTTCCCAAATTACATAAGAAACGTGAAAATCACAATCAACCACCTCTTAGACCTATTGTATCTTCTATTGGAGCTTATAATTATAGTTTAGCCAAGTATTTAAGTTCTCTTTTTGCTCCACTTTTACCTAGCAAGTATTCGGTCACAGATTCATTCTCTTTTGTTGAAGAGCTCAGGAGTTTCGATCTTTTTACCAAAATTTCGTTAAATGAAACTATCGATGTTGCTGTTGATCGTATTTTCAAGTATAACCCTAAATTTTCGATCAAAAAAATCCGACCTCAAGAAACTCGTTTTCATTCGCTACAGCTGAAAATTATTTTCTTTTTAATGGAAAATTTTATGATCAAGTTGATGGGGTAGCGATGGGTTCTCCGTTAGCACCCATACTAGCTAATCTTTTTCTTGGTTTCCACGAGGAAACATGGCTAAATAATTTTAACCATTCGACTTGCCTTCTACTTTATAGGCGTTATGTTGACGACACCTTCTGTGTCTTCCACAGTGAACAGGATGCTAACTCATTTTTTTTTTTATTATTATTATTCACGGCACCCCAACATAAAATTCACTTTCGAAGAAGAGAATGATGGTAAACTCTCCTTTCTTCATATATTTATCGACAACTCTTTAGTTTTATTCCATCATGCTACAAAATTGGCCTTATCCGAACTCTTATTGACCGTATCTACAAAATCAACAACACCTCTTCCGGCCTTCAAAACGATCTTAAGAAACTTTCCGACACTTTAAAACGTACTTCTTTTCCTTCGCATATTATTGAA